AGGTTGCTCAGGAGGGCCAGAAACGAAAAAGCAACGAGGAGAGGCCGGAGAAGACAAAGAAACAAAAACACACCATGTCTTCACCAGGTGGGATAGTGATTTGCGTGCCCCCCGTGCTGATGTCTCAGGCCTTCTTGAGTGAGGAAGTTTCTGCCAACTCGCTGGTTCGGCCGTATGCCATATCCGAACAGGGGCGTGAGTTTTTAGGCCAGTTGGACACCGTGTCAAAGTGGAAGTATTTTTGCGAGGTGCAGTTTCGGTCGCTGCCACTTGCACACCACCTTGCTATGGAACCAATCAACGAGTTGGTGCAATTGAGACAAAGGGTTGAGGAGGCCGATAAGGCGACGGTCGAGGCCATGGCGACGGCCGAGGAAGCTCTGGCTAAGAACCGACAGCTTGCAGCCGAGCTAGACGTGGAGAGGCGCAATAATGACACCCTCCGGCTGGACCTTCAAAAGGCGTCAAACGAAGAGCAACACCGAGCGGAAGAGGCAAAGGCCGAGCTGGAGCGGCTTAAAGAGCAGGCTAAGGATCGCATAGTCGCTCAACATGAAGCCGGATTTCGCCATGCTCTTCGACAAGATAGGCACTTCGGCCGTTTTAGAGAAGACTTTGAGTTTGACATGACCAAGGACTTTTTTACCAGGGGTCCTTCATGTCATTCAGGGATATGCCCGAGGGGGCTGTCCCGGATAATGATGAGCCGAATGAGGTCCCCGAAGAGGAGGAGACTCAGGGTGTTTCGGATGACGAGGCTAAAAATGAGCAGGAAGGGCCGAATCGCGACCAAGAGGACGAGCCAGAAACGCAAGAGGACGCTGCCGCCAACCCCGATGAATGATTGTGTTTGAATCATAATTTTGTACTAAAGGCCGATAGAGCCTTCCCTCTACCTTCTTTTTTTTTGTATTAAAGGCTGATAGAGCCTTATTCTTATCAATGAAAAGTGACTTTTTCTAACCGGATTATGCTTGTGTATCGAAACACTCTTTTTTATCTAAATGGTGTAATCTGTTGAGTGAAGGGTTTGCCTAAACCCTTGGTTGAATTAGGTTTATTAATAGCGCATACTGACTAAGTTAATAATCAAATGGAGATGTTTTGGTAAGGGCCGAGTGGGATCGTTTCGGGATAGCCATTTTTATCGAGCAAAATCGAATTGGGTCATTTAGAAATGATTGTGAGGCCGAGTTGGGTCATTCGGAAATGTTGGCCTTTTGAGCAAGGCCGTGTGGATCCACTCGGGAATGCTTTCCATTTTGAGTAATGCCGAATGGGTTTACTCGGATTGCTTGCTTTTTTGAGCAATGCCGAGTGGGTTCACTCGGGTTGCTTGCCTTTCTGAGCAATTTCGAGTGGGTTTACTCGGATTGCTTGCCTTTCTGAGCAATGCCAAGTGGGTTCACTCGAATTGCTTGCCTTTCTGAGTAATGCCGAGTGGGTTCACTCGGATTGCTTGCCTTTCTGAGCAATGCCGAGTGGGTTCACTCGGATTGCTTGCTTTTCTAAGCAATGCCGAGTGGGTTCACTCGGATTGCTTGCGTTTTTTTTTGGATGAATTCCGAAGGTACCTCCTTGGCCGAGTGGGGTCATTCGGGAAGCCTCTTTGCATGACTTCCGAAGGCACATCCTTGGCCGAGTGGGATTACTCGGGAGGGAAGCCTGCTTGTACAATTCTGAAGGCACGTCCTTGGCCGAGTGGGTTTACTCGGGAGGGAAGCCTCTGCGCGATTTTTGAAGGCACATCCTTGGTCGAGTGAGGTCACTCGGGAGGGAAGCCTACTTGTACGAATTCCGAAGGCACGTCCTTGGCCGTGTGGGGTCACTCGGGAGGGAAGCCTCTTTTTGTGATTTTCGAAGGCACTTCCTTGGCCGAGTGGGGTCACTCGGGAGGGAAGCCTGCTTGTACGAATTCCAAAGGCACGTCCTTGGCCGAGTGGGGTCACTCAGGAGGGAAACCTTTATGTATAATAATTCAGGTAAGAGTAAGAGTGAGAGGGAGGGGGAGGAATTGAACTGCATTTCATTAATGGGTGCCTCGTTAAAAACCCTGTCGGCCAAAACCCCTTTTCACTTTTTTACAAGGGAAAAAAGACCGATCAAGGAAAAGAGTGCACCATGCATGTACATTTGTATTTACATAAACTTCTAGCTAAAATATGTCTTCAAGTGGGTCGAATTCCAAGTCTGAGGGATGATTTTTCCCGACAGCTCTTCTATCTTGTAGGCTCCGTTTTGGAGGTTGTGCCGAATTCTGAACGGGCCATCCCAATTGGCCGCTAACTTTCCTTCACGAGGGTTTCTCCTAGCCGATCCCTGAACATGCCAAACTAGGTCTCCTTCCTGAAAACTTCATTTGGTGAGTGTGGCGTTGAATCGCCTCGTCATCCGTTGTTTGCATGCTTCGGCTACGATGCGTGCTTTGCTGCGAATTTCGTCGACAACATCGATTTCTGCCCGAAGAGATTGGTCGTTGCATGATTCATCGAAATGCAATTGGCAAAAAGAAGGTTCGCCGACCTCCACCGGAATCATTGCATCCGTTCCATATGTCAATCAGAAAGGAGTTTCCACGGTTGTGGATTGAGGCGTACATCTGTAGGCCCACAACACTTCTAACAGTTCCTCGGCCCAAGCCCCCTTGGAATCTCCCAAGCGCTTCTTTAGTTCGGTAAGGATTACCTTATTCGCCGCTTCGGCCTGTCCGTTTGATTGTGGGTGTTCAACAGATGTGAATCTGTGTGGGATACCCAACTCTAATGGCGTGTGGAATACCGAAACGTGTGATGATGTTTTTCCATAGGAATTTCTGGACCATGTTTGCAGTGATTATTGCTAGGGGTTCAGCCTCAATCCATTTCGTAATGTAATCAATGGCCACCAACAAGAATTTGCATTGGCCTTTTACGAGATGGAATGGGCCGAGGATATCCATTCCCCATAATGTGAATGGCCAGGGGGCGCTAATGTTGTGCAACTCTTCAGCTGAGGCGTGGATGATATTACCGTGTCACTGACATTAAATACATCGTTTAACAAATTCCGCACAATCGGTCCTAAGAGTCAGCCAGTAATAACCTGCTCTCAAGACTTTAGCCGCCATGGTTCTTCCACCCAAATGGGAACCACAAATCCCGTCATGGATTTCTCTCAACACATACTCTGCCTGCGCCGAGTCAATACATTTCAGCAATGGTGTTGAGAAGCCTCTTCGGTATAGTTCCCCTCCTACAACCGAATATCGAGCTGCTTGTGTTTGTAGTTTTCTAACAGTGTAATCTTTTATTTCTGACATCCAAGTTTGAGCAGAATCGGAGATCGACATGTTTTCAACCGAGTTCACACTTGGGGCTGACAGGTCGAGATGAAGTGTGGTTTGTAGTTGCCGCGGTTTTCGATTACTGCTAGCCAACTGAGCCAACTGATCAGCTCTCTCATTGTGTTCTCTGGGGGTGTGTTTCACCTGGACCTCATCAAAAGTGTTACGCATTCTCTGAAATAGATGGAATATTTCAGTAGGATGGAGTCCCTCACTTGGAAGTTATCGTTCACCTGTTCCGAGACGATTTTCAAATCTGTCTAGCATATTACTCGTCGAGCACCCACCTCTTGAGCAAGCCTTAAACCTGCCAGCAACGCTTCGTACTCGGCCTGGTTATTTGAAGCCTTGAACGCGAATCGCAAAGATTGCTCGAATGACAGCCCGTTCGGTCCTTCAAGGATGATTCCAGCTCCAATGCCTTGGTTGTTAGAGGACCCGTCCACATGTATTGTCAACAAGTCATTTACAAAGTGGCCCTTCGACTGTAATTCATTAACAAAGTCAGCCAAGCATTGAGACTTGATCGGGCCTCGTGGTTCAAAAGTTACGTCGAACTCCGAGAGCTCAATTGATCAGGCCATCATTTGCCTAGCCAACTCAGGTTTGCGCAAGACCTTGGCGACCGGGCAGTCAGTTCAGACTATGACATGATGACTTTGAAAATACTGCCGGAGGCGACGAGCTGTGTGAACAAGTCCGAGTGCCACCTTTTCTAGGAGCTGATACCTCGTCTCTGCTTCCTGCAGCATTCGACTAATGAAGTACATTGGCCGTTGCACTTCTTTTTCTTGTACCAAAACGGCATTGATTGCTTCGTTTGATACGCACAAGTATACCACCATATCCGCTTGAGGCTCGGGCTTCGAAAGAATTGGGGGAGAGCCGAGGCGTTGCTTCAACGCCTGGAAAGCCTCTTCGCAACCGACAGACCATTCAAACTTTTTTACCTTCTTCAACAAACCAACGATGGGTTTTGCTATTTCAGCCAAACATGGAAGGAATCTCGATAGAGCTATGAGTCGTCCAGCTAACTTTTGAACTTCTTTGAGATTCTGGGGACTCCTCATACTGATGACCGCCTGACATTTTTCGGGATTGGCTTCGATGCCTCTCGCCGATAGCATGAAGTCGAGGAATTTTCCTCCCGATACACCAAATACACATTTTTCTGGATTGAGTCGCATGTCACATTTGCGTAGCTGATGGAAGACTTCCAAAAGGTCGGCCATATGTTTGAGCAAGGTCTTCGGACTTGACAACCATATCGTTAACATAAACCTCCATATTCTTGCCAAGTTGGTGTCGAAAAACTTTATCCATCAACCTCTAGTAAGTTGCGCCTGCATTCTTCAAGCCAAAAGGCATCACCTGATAGCAATAATTGGCTGAATCGGTGATGAAGGCCATCTTCTCTTCATCACGAGGATGCATGCGTATTTGATTATATCCAGAGTAAGCGTCCAGAAAGGTGAGGACTCGGTGCCCTGATGCACCGTCGACCAATCGGTCAATGTTTGGGAGTGTGTATGCATCCTTTGGGCACGCCCTGTTGAGGTTAATATAGTCAGTACACATTCTCCATTTGCCGTTCGGTTTCTTCACCATGACCACATTTGTCAACCATGTGGTGTACTGAACTTCCCGAATAAACTTAGCGTCGAGCAGTTTTGCAACTTCCGTTTCAACCGCCAGTTTTAAATCGGTTCCATTTTCCTTTTGCGCTGAGCAACTGGCCGTGCTTCAGCACATATTGATAATCTGTGACACATGAAGTTTGGGTCTATGCTGGGCATGTCAGACGGTGTCCATGCAAAAAGGTCCTTGTTCTGAATGATTACCTGGCTTGGGGCAGCACTATCCTCTTCGGCGACGTCGGCGCCGATGTATATAACTTGAGATGAAAGCGATCCGATCTGCATTTGGATTTTTTCTTCAATTGGTTCTACGCGCTCCTCATCATTCATTCTCGGATCAAGATCCCAAACCGGTGATTCATCCGAGCCGAAGGGTTGACAGCATGAACCCTTTTGGATTTTGACTACCTTTCTTCTATGGGGGATATTCGCCAACTGGCGAAATAACATTCTCGAGCAGCCTTCTGATCGGCATGGATTGTAAGGATCTTCCCCTTGTCGGACGGAAACTTCATTGCTAGGTGCGGTGTCGAGACAATTGCCCCTAGCATGTTCAGTGATGGCCGATCGATCGAGGAGGATGTTATAGGATGTGTTGGCATGCACCACAATATACTTCACCTGAATTTCTCTACTTTCTTGTTCGTCAAAACAAAAACGAGTGAAGAGCTTAATATAGCCCTTAGTGCTTACCCGTTCTCCTGAAAAAATGGGATCATCATATGGGATTAGCTCCTTCTCGGAGATACCTAATTGTTTGAAGGTATTCCAGTACAAAATATCCGCCGAATTACCCTGATCGACCAAAGTTTTCTTGACTGTACAATTGTGAATTTCCACGCTAATCACCATTGGATCGTCTTGTACAAGGTCAATGCCTTGAAAGTCAGCATCGGTGAAAGTTATGGTTGGTAACCTTCGGGCAGGTTGCCTATCAACGGCGTGAACCGACCAGATGGCTCGTAAGTGTCTCTTTTGGGCTGAGGAAGTTGAGCCTCCACCCGCAAATCCACCTGCAATTGTATTAATGACCCTCCTATGCGAAGCTGTGGGGTCATCCTTCCTATCTCGTGACCTGCTTCGTTCACGCCGAGGCCTCTCAGGACGGTCCTGCCTATGCCGATCATGGTGTCGAGGTTGATATGAGGAGCGAGGCCGAGATGAATCTGACCGATCAACAAAATTATGGAGCTGTCCTTGTTTGATCAAGTCTTCTATTTTATCCTTTAGAGCAGCACATTCTTCGGTAGAATGTCCACGATTACGGTGATACCTGCAAGATTTACTGGTATCAATGCATGGTGGAGTAGAAGCTCTTTTGGGAATTGCTAGCACTTCGGACGCGAGGGCTTATTCTAGCACCGCTGCCCTACTGACATTCAAAGGTGTGTAATGAGAGTATTTCGGCCCACGCATGGGTCCGTCTCGTAGTGTAATTTCCTTGCCTCTCACTCTGAATGGTTTTTTCGTTTGCTTTTCAGCTTTGCCCACTGGTTCATCTCGGGGCTTGATTACGGTATTCAGCCAGCTCTTCCATTTGCATATATTTATCAGCTCTCCTTTGTAGGTCGTTCATGTCCAAAGGAGGTTTCTTGCAAATGCTATTGACGAACGACCCCATCTTTAAGGCCGTTGTGAGATGATGGAGTGCTACAGCTAGGTTGAGATCTCGGATTTCCAAGGCTGCCTTGTTGAACCGATCCATGAAAGATCGAAGGGACTCTTTCCTGTCCTGCCGAAGGCTGACCAGCGATAGAGAAGTCAAGTTGTGGGGACGACTCGTTGCAAACTGGATGGTGAACTGAGACGACAAAGTATTGAACGAGTCGATAGAGTTAGGAGGTAGCCGAGTAAACCAACTCAAGGCCCTTCCTTTGAGGGATGTTGGGAAAATCTGACATAAGGCAGCGTCATCCGTGGTGCTCAAGGTTACCTGCGTGAGAAAAACATCAAGATATTCGTCAGGGTCCGTTGTACCATCATATTTATCGATGGGTAATGATTTCCAGTTGTCAAGGAGAGGTAGTTGCATAATGGAGGGTGTGAAAAGGTGGCGATGTGATCCAACAGTTGCCACATCTGTAGGACGTCCGACCGTGGGCAAGGCCGAAGGAAACTTTTCTGGTGCAACGGCCGAGCCATGTAGAGCCGATGTGTGGACCTCATGAGATTGATAAGACCCTTGTGTTTGAGTGTTGGTGGGTTGAGTAGGTTTCCACGAAGGGTCTTGATTTTTTAATGCCTCATTTTATGCTCTTAAGGCTGAAAGTTCCTTCGCGTCTTTCTCCTGTTGTTGTTTCATAGCCGCTATCTCTTGCTTCAGTAGACGAATGGTCTCGGAGAGATCGGTTTGTCTACCACCTCCACATGTTCTTCTTCGGTCTGGTGGTCTTCCGTGTTCGTTCTCCTTGTCCTCGTCATTTCCTCACTCAGTTAGTCTTCACAATTGTTCTCAATTCAGCCCCACGGTGGGCGCCAAAATGTACCTGTCTGAAGGGCACACTAGTAATCTTCTTGTATTCTGAGGGCCGAATGAGAGCTCTAATCAAATATTTCGGCGAGGGAGAGTTACCTGAAAAAGGCACTCCGACGCTCAAGTCAGGACAAAGCACAGATATCAATAGTAATTAATGAACAGTGACGTTATCTCGTGACATGAGCTATTTATACTGACGTTTATGGGCCCTGACCTCCCTGGGCCCTGTGACAGGATTACCATATTAGGTAATACGCCTCTAATCGGCTTACTGGCGTGATTAACCATTAACTCTTGATTAAGGGTAATCCTTAATCCCTTACTAGCGGTGATCCGTATTTATGGAGCATTCGGTGGCCGATCAGTTGTCGTCTACCTGGTTCGGCCTTCCAGGTGCCGATCGTGTGTCAGTCACCTGGTGGCCAAATGGCCTTACCAGTACAATAGAAAAATATATATTTGATATTATATATGTACGTTTTTAATGAAAATTAACATAATTTTAACACAATTTAAAAATAAAATAAGGTTTCATATATATAATTTAAAAATGAGATAAAATATTTTTTTAGAGATTCAAGTATTATAATGCATGTCAATCATTTTTAAAAAGAAAAATATATACAATTTATTTTATTTATCTAAGCACTTTTTTATTTATAGTTTATCGTATTATGCTCTTATACATCATATCTATCATCGAATCAATGAATTAGGTGGTCACTCAAGCTTTATTTATTTATTTATTCATTATTCATTATTATTATTATTATTATTGATAACTTTGATATTCTTTTTTAATTATTTTAGTCGTTCCCCATAATCTCAATGATGTTTCTAAAATCGCACATAATGTCTAATTCTTAAGTTGTCATCATAATTGTAATTAACGCATTTCCAATTATTGCATATCCATTTATCATCAACAGCCAAAAACAACATTTAAAAAATTTGAAGGACGGCTACTTTGTATGAGCTTTACATGTTATGTTGCCCATGATGTCCTAGCGTCACAGTTCTCGCTGGTATGGCAACCAGCAATGAATAAAAATAATAATACAAAAGTCTTGTACCAAAATGAAAGCAACGTCTACAAATATTATTCATATAATTAAGGAATATATTGTAAGAAACACACGTCATATACCTATAATATATGAACTTCATCATAATTTTCTTCTTTGTTACATATCGAAATCATTGACTTTATTGGCGTAGTACGTAATAGTAATAATAATAGTAACATGACAATAAACAAACCATAGCAATGTTATAATGTTCAATGACCAAATCCTTACTATTCATCATCATTTGTGTCACCTCTACTATGAATCCACCACAAGAGATTACTCAAAGAGTTTCCATCATCATAACCCTTCAAGCTTCTTATCTTCTTCAATGCACCTTCATTATCATAAACCCCTTGTAGGGCATACACAAACCCCTTCCACCCTTCACCAACACCATCCCTCTCCAAAGCAGGCAAAGTCCACTCCACAAGATCCTTCACATACTCAACATTGCTGAAAACAGCTTCAGAAACAGGCACCAATGGCAAGAGCTGAATCCCAAGCCTACACTCTCTCCTCTCAGCAGGAGCAAACCATAGGCCAGTGTCCCTCTTGTTAGACCACAAAACACCCATTACCCTATTCTCCTTTGTAAACTCTTCCTCATACAATGTTCCTCCCTCTTCCACATGCCAAAATGTTTTAGTTCCAAGAATCTCCAATGATGTCAACGTTGACCCAAGTGCAACAAGACGAGGGTCACCATATGCAAGACCAATCAAAGCAGCAGAATAGTATGCACTCACAGCCTCACTTGTGCTCTCTTGGTTCCTTCCATCTGTGAACTCGGTTAACCCTCCAGCCCAAGAGTGCAACACATACAAGTCAAAACACCTCAAACGTGTGTAGTTGTAGTTTGATCTTGAGTCCAAGTTCATGAAATCTTCCACAAGGGAATAGGCTTGTGCCTTGTACTTCCTACCCCAGGATGGATCAAGCTTAGTAAGCACTGCAATTGCATAGAGGAAGTACCCCAAATGGTAGTGGTGGTCATTGTAGATACCAAATCCAAAATCAGCACTTGAATCAGTGGACCCTTGTTGGGTGATAATGCCACCCCATTTGTTATCATGTAGAAATCCATTCCCATGAAAAGTACCCTCCAACCACGGCTCAATGGTTTCCTTCAAAAACTTTCTTACCTTTGGAATCACATCAAGGTGGGACAACTCCTCAGCAATCAATGCCAACCTTGCAGCCCTTGCAATCAACTTGCCATAAAAGTAAGACGAAGTTTCTTTTATTGATGATGAGTTTAGGCCCTCAACATCTTTAGAAAGAGCTGAAATAATCTCATCACGAGATTCTTCTTTGACTCCATTGGTTGAATGCCATGATACAAACACCGGATCTGTTTCCAAAACCCATGAATCCCCAACAACACCAACAAGATCCCCGTCAATGCTTCTATACTTAAAGTCATCAAGAACGGTGACATCATCATCTGTATTAGACAGAAGCTGAACATGGAGAGGGTGAGCCAATAATAACAAATCCCCTGATCCTTTCTTCTCCCACTTGTATTCCAAAACAAAAGGTTCTCTGAACACAGCTTCACCTGACACGGGGTAGCAAGAACTAAACTTGTCAAGAACACCCTCGTGTTTCGAATCAGAATCCGGCAACAAAGCTATCCGGATTATGCCAGAAAATGCATTGGAAGTGATCTCAGAAAGGGTGTGACTCAACTTGATGGGGGAGGAAGCATAAAGGAGCCATGTTTGGCCATTGTTGAACTGAAAGGTGAACTTGGTGTTGGACTTATTTGAAGAGAATGAGAGAATAGCGTGGATTGTGGTGATGGAAAGAGGGGTTGGTCGGGTCACAGACACAGTCAAATAGGGGCTTCCCCTAACAAGTAAGAAGCTAAGATTTTTAGAAGGGATATCCAAGGTGACACTGAGATCACTGTAGGAGGAGATAACATGTTTCTCATTGGAACCTTGCTTGGATGAGATGGTGAGATCAGAGTTGAAGACTTGGTATATGACAGCAGAACTGACTTGGCGAGAAGGGTATGAGAGAGAGAGGGAGGAGTTGGAGGATTTGATGAGGTAAGGGTGAATGTATTCAGGTTGGTCACCATTTTTGAGGACAAAGTTTTGGAAGAAAGAGTTTGTGGGGAGTGAATTTGAGAGAAGGTTTTGGGAGAAGAAGTTGGAGGGGTCAGGGAGGACAGTGGATTGTGTCTGAGGGAAGATATAAGGAGGGATGCTTTGGTTTTTAGCCATTGTTGATGAAGGTGGTGAAAGTTGTGTTGTGTTTATGGTGATGAATGCTTGAATGGTGATTGTAGAGGTGGTGATGTATATATGGGTTTTGGGGGCATGTGGTGAAAGCACTCGTAACTTAGACATTAGTGTTTTTCATTATTGGCGGCTACTCTATGTACAACTTGGCTTGTTTTTAAATTGTTATGAGTAGGATAGTGGGGTTTGAGATTTTGGATTTTGGGGATGCTTGTTGGATGGTTGAACATAATTTATTGAGTTGGTGAACTCAATTTTAGCACAAGTTGAAGAGAGAGGTTTGTTTTATATCCTTCATGATATCGATATTAAATATTTATAGTTAAAAGTAGTGATTAGTCTTTTTTTGAAAAAAATAAATATATAATATGTATTTTTTTTCAATATGATTTATTTTGTATATTTAAAGGTGAGAATTTGAATTCTAAATAATTTATTAAGAAATATAAATCGCTATTATTAATATTGATATAATGTGTTTATGATAATATATATTTGAGAGTAATGATTCAAATGAATTATGAAAGGGTGGGAGTAAAGAGGATTGAATGATTGATTAAAAGGAAGGGAAACATGGCCAGAAAGGTGCGTGCGTGAATGTGACCATGTCAAGAAACAAAACCGAAGTTTCTCAATGGGAACATACCAAAATCAGTACCCCACATAAAAACAATGTTATGTGTACACAATTGGAGAATTTGAACAAGGAAGATAAAGTGATAAACACAAGTCAGTCAACTCATACGAATCAGATTGGATGTGGAAGTTTTGCCAAAAAAAGCAAAAGCCCATGATTCGCTAAAGAAGCCTTCGTGGAATGTTCTACCAATTTCCACTATGTAATTAATTAATATCTTAACTGGTACTAGGTAGAAATCTTGTATACTTTCAGAGTACTACACTACTCGAAGAAATTAACGCAACAGATAACTAATATATAATACTACTAGATTAAATTAAAATATATCGCTCGTTCTAAGAACTTTAATATATATATATAAGATTTCGCATAGTATCTTTGAGTATCATTGCTACAGATATTCATGTGCTCATTTTTTTTTGTATAATTAAACTCGTTGTAAGTTTTAAGTTAAACTAATCGGTTAATATTTATAGTTTTTCCAAGTTTTTAAGTTAAAAATACTAAAAATTTTACGTAATTTAAAAATCTTGTAACTAAATATTTTACTCACTAATATTATTATGTTTGGTTAATGGAAGTCATATCCCACAAATATAAATTAATTTTTAATTATTATTTTCAAAACATGTATAAATAGCATGTTCATGAAAACAAATTCATTATTATTATTATTAAAATTTCAATAACTCATGCTACATGCATATGTTAATTATTTTTAATGTAACACTGTAAGTGGTGAGTTAAATGGTTTAGAGTTTAGTTAACTCTAGAAAGAAGGGTATATAAGGTTTCCTTTAAGAATAGAGCCTTATACAAGAAACTTTAGAAATAAGATTTAGAGAGAAGGACTTTGGATCAGTAAGTTCTATTCTCTCCTAAATTTCTCTTCTTATTTCCTTTCTTCCTCTAGAATATTAATCTTTTTTGTTCTTTCTTTGAATTCAGGTTAGGAAGCTTGATTTTGGTGGATTGAAGACATCGGATCGACCGTAGGGGATTCTCTTCCTTCTTCCTCTTCTTGGTTGTTTTGAGAAAATCTTCAAGTGAGGGAAGCTAGGATGTTGTTGATTGGTTGCATGTGAGTTTAGAAACTCAATTGATGCATGGGTTTAGGGATTGGACTGTTGATTTGAGGGATTTTTCCCATTTTCGAGGTTTTGGGAAAAATTGGCCAGGTTTTTTTGATGATTTTAATGCATCGAGTGGGTACATGTTGAGTTTGAGGTTGTTTTTGGATTCTATATATGGAGTCTGGTTGTTGATTTATATGGTTTGCATGTTATTAATTTGTTTGGAAGTGTAGGTTTTGTTTGAAATTTTTGAACTTGATATGCTAGCTTTTGAATTCGCGCCGAGTGCACCTTCATGGCGTTGCACGGGTATTCATTAGATGCCTAAAATTCACATTCATGTCTAGGGTCTCTTGATGAGTGGTGCATGTGTAAAGTGTGACACCCTCTACCCCACATACATAATAGACAATAAATATAAAGTACATTCTTGAGTAAATAAAACTTTCTTAAAAAAATAAGGTTTCAAAACACATAGATAGAGAATTCACATTCATATTTCGCAAATTATAGTCTAATGCGACAAAATAAAACATTAGTCTTTTCAAATAACAGTAATGAAACTCCAATGCTAAACCTAGCTAAGCCCCGATGTCACATATCCTATCAGAACATGCCTAACTGAAGCCTAAGCCTCATCACCAACATCTTTATGTTGATGATCACCTACAACACAATTTAAACACATACAAAGAACAACAAGGGAGTGAGAAATATCTCACTCGGTTCTAGGTGCAGAAATAAAGGTTAGATAGCACACACACACAACAAACATAAGTCACATGTAAACAATATACATACACAATCAATATCACTTGCACACTCATTTATCATGCAATCATATCATGGACTTGACTCATAAATGCATGCATGTGGCGCCATACAGAAGTTTTTACATTTCTCATCATTTCATCACATAGCTTGTTAAATCACTGGTATGCGGCCTAAGCGGCACACTTGGAATAAGTCATTTCATCATATAGCTTGTTACATCACTAGTGACCCTAAGGTACACCTTGTTAGCTGGTTACATCACTAGTTACCCTAAGTTACACCTTGTTAGCTAGTTACATCACTGGTGCCCTAAGGTACACCTTGTTAGCTTGTTACATCACTGGTGACCCTAAGGTATACCTTGTTAGCTTGTTACATCACTGGTGTGCGGCCTAAGTGACATACCTGGAATAGATCATATATGCACATGATGCATGTTACACATTCACTATTTTATTAACTCAACATGTCACTTGTCATGGAATTTCATGTCTCATATCATCACATTTCACATTCTCATAGTCACAGTTTATCTCATTTCATCACATTTCATATTCTCATAATCATAGCTTATCTCATTTCATCACGTTTCAAATTCTCATTATGTCTCATGTCATTTGTTCATATTTTACATAGTCACATTCATAATTGTTCCTCATAAGATTCGTACAGGAATCCACAAAGCACTCTAATTCATATCAAAACATATCTAATTTTGAAATCAAATACATATTTACACTCTACATTACACAAGGAACGCAACAGAACAATCAGAAGGCAAAATAGAAAACATTCATATTTGACCTGTTTTCTCACAGGATTCTCTCAGGAACCCATAAAGCACTCTAATTCATATCAAAACTTGTTTACTTTTAAAATTAATCATATATTCATACATCACATCCAACAAGGAACACAATAGAACAATCAGAAGGCAAAATAGAAAACATTCATATTTTGCCTGTTCCTAGAAGCATGCATCAGGCAAGGGATTGGGGGCCAATCCAGCTACCCAACAATTATTCCCACACCACTCCCCCCTTACCTGGATAAGCAGAAGGTGAAGCTAGAGCAGAATCTGGTTGATCTCCTTCTCTTGGTTCTGTTTGGTCTCTAGAGAGTGTGTCTAGAAACAGTACCAGAGTGCTCTATTTATAGATTTCAGGAGTGGCCAGAACGACCCGTTTTAAATCTAGAACGACCCGTTCTAGATCCTTTCAGCATGTGTAAACTTGACATCTGGAACAGCCCGTTCTAAAAACCAGAACGACCCATTCTGATTTTGCATTTTAACACACAACGTCCATATTTGGAATGGCTCGTTCCCAACTTTGGAATGACCCGTTCCTAACTTTGGAACGACCTATTCCCAACTAGGGTTATAGGTCATTTTGGTGGTTTGGAATGACCCGTCCCAGTTTGGGAACAACCCGTTCTGGGCAACCAAAAATAGGTCTGTTTAGTAGTTTGGAACGACCCGTTCCAATTTGAGAACAGCCCGTTCTAGGCTACTAAATTACCCTCAATAAATCTTGTGAAAGTTACTAAATTACCCATCATAAAAAGTATGAAAACTAGGGTGTTACAATTCTTCCCCTCTTTTAGAAATTTCGTCCCTAAAATTTACCAAAAGCCTGAACGAATGAACTTCAAGGATCTTGCTCTCTACTGCCAAATAACACTTCCTAAATAGTTCTCATCACGCTTCCGCTGCACCACTCTGATGTAGAAACTATACTAGTAGAAAATCACATGTAATCTCACTACCTCACTGATGTATAACTCTATCAATCTCCCTAAGGAATATCTATCATCAATAAGGGTAAGACAAACAAATTTGGTGAGTCTATCGACTATAATCCAAAAGAATAAAATTTCTTAAGCATCTCAGAAAAACCTACAACTAAGTTTATAGATATAGCATCTCACTTCCAAACTAGGACGTCTAAAGGCTGCAAAAGTCCTAAAGACTTCTAGTGTTTTATTTAGACTTCTGGCATACTAAACATGAGTACATAAATTTCTCTACTTCTCTCTCCACCTTAATCCGCCAGAACATCTTCCTAAGGTCTTGAACACCTTCGTAGCTTCCGAGTGAAAACTAAAAGTACTCTTATGTCCTTCCTCTAAGATCATTCTCTTAATTCAGGATTACTAGGCACCCCAAATTTTTGTTCTTGCACCTCAAAACAATGTCGATTTCAACTTAGAAAAGGTTATCTATACTCCTACCAATCTTCTCCACTTGGTTCACTTCACTAAGAAAGGAGCTGACTCCTGGGCTTCTCTAATCTCATCCATTAATTCGCTAGTCACTTTCAAAATCAATTCAATGCTCTTAAGGTTAATCTCACACACCAAGCTTGAGTCTCTAAACTCTTCAATCAAATCCAACCTTTAAATCATAAAAATGATAGACGAATGATCATCCTACTCAAGGCATCTGCTACAATAATAGCTTTACTTCTACGACCTTCTCCAAAGATCAAGCACTTAAGCATAAGCTCACTAGGTACACATACCAGATCTCTAATTTCACCACTCCATCTACACCCAAGGTAAGTTTCTATCCATTACCTTGTCCTT